GTGCTGGTCATGAACTCTATCTTAGTTTGGGTGGTAGTATCCTGGGTGAGTTCAGTTTATGAAAATTCAACGAACTGTACAATCTTAGTCTTTTAACTTTAATGCAAGTATCTTATCCTGCAATGAAAACTTCGTATTACAGAGGAACTGAACTGTTGTTGAAAGTTATACGTGGGTAGTACGGCAGCCATCCCTCTCCTGGGGCGTCTGCCGGCACCTCAGCGAGCCCAATGCAGGGAGAGTGGAAAGGAGGCAATCATAGAAGCTTTGAGTTTTTAAACCATTCCGTTTAGAAGCTTCAAGTTCTCCATACAATTACCACGATCACTAAATCATAACTGTTTCACCGGAGCGATCACATTTGAGAATAATAGTCAGAGGCATTTCTTTCAACAAATGACTCTTTAATTTTGCTCAGATGGTAAGTGAAGCAGAAAGCTTGACTATCAGCCCACCACCTCGAACAGACTTCCAACTAACACGCCCACATGAACTTGATTCTTGGGTTTGTTTCCATGTGGCCACTTGAAAATGTATTTAATGGTTGGAGAGAAAACAGAAGTGAATTACTGGGTTTGCTTAATCTAGTCTGTGAGCAGAATATCTCCAGGACAAAAGGCCAGTTAGGCTGTTGATTTTTCTTTTTTTTTATCCTCACCCGAGGACATTTTTGCATTCATCTTCAGACAGAGCAAGAAGGAGAGACGGAGAGAGAAACATCGATGTGAGAGAAACACATCGACTGGCTGCCACCCACAGGACCCCAACTGGGGCCGGGGCCAAACTGCAACCAAGGTATGTGCCCTTAGCAGGAACCGAACCCGGGTCTCTCTGGTCCGCGGGCCGATGCTCTAACCGCGGAGCCAAACCGGCCAGGGCTGCAATAAAGTTTTGAGATGCTAGTTTAAAATTGGATTATGATCATCACACCGCTCTCTCTCTTTGTATAATCAAGCACCTTCGCTGGCGGGGTAACATGGGAAAGTTTTGAAAAGGGAAAGCAATCCATTTTGACAGCAGAACTTAGCCCAATGGTTTAGAGAAGTTCCTAGAAATGCAGGAAGGAAAAGTCAAATGTAGGAAAAGAAAAAAAATTGTTTTTCTCCCATGTACTCATTTCATGGCTTTGTGAAGTCATGCGAAGGTGCTTGATTATACAAAGAGAGTGAGCGGTGTGATGATCATAATCCAATTTTAAACTAGCATCTTAAAACTTCATTGCAGCCCTGGCCGGTTTGACTCAGCGGTTAGAGCATCAGCCCACGGACCAGAGAGAGCCGGGTTTGGTTCCCGCTAAGGGCACGTACCTCGGTTGCAGTTTGGCCCCGGCCCCAGTTGGGGCCCTGTGGGTGGCAGCCAGTCGATGTGTCTCTCTCACATCGATGTTTCTCTCTCCGTCTCTCCTTCTTGCTCTGTCTGAAGATGAATGCAAAAGTGTCCACGGGTGAGGATAAAAAAAACTTCATTGCACCCTGCAGAGTCTCCCACTGCACAGATGTTTCTCGGGGTGCATGGTGAGCAGTGATGCAGGCTGCAGGATCCGAGTTCGCTGCTGTCAAGGTGTTTCCCTGCCCAGCACCCGTTCACATCCTCCTCTGAAGTCTCTTGCTAATGAAGCAACAGGAGAAACGAGAAATACCAGTACTCAAATTTTGACCTGATTTAAAAGTAAAAATAAGAGTCCAAAGTGACAGCTTTGAACAGGATTTCAGTTTTTAAAAGAACGGTCCGTGGATGTTTTGACATAAACACAGCGTTGGCATTCAGAGCCCATGACTCACTGAGAGTCCAGGATGGCCGGGAAGAGGGTTATATCACTGGGTGGCTTATGCCACTCCAACCTGGGCATTCTTTTCTTTCCGGTTCCCCCCAAGGACCTTCACTTTCTGCTTTCTCTTTCTTGTTTGGTCCAAGAAAATCTCTCCCTTCGCCTCTTCCAAGAGTCACATGAAGACCAAACCTCAAAAGGGAGTCCCTCCAGCTTCGGTCTGACTTGGTTTGTGTTTAATAATCTGGGTGACTGAGTTACTAGTCACTGGCTTAATGTATCTACTTGTCTTTCATTTACCCTTGTCTATAAAATTAAGCTATTGGCATTTGACTCGCTTCCATAATTCATTGTGCAGTTTTCTGTTGGGCTCCCAATCCTTGCCAAACTGTTCTCTATGAGCAGTTCCCGGTGTACAGGAGGAGCTCAACTATTTGTCGAATGAGTAAATGGCATTTACCATCTTCATGCCACCCTTTCCCACACACTTTTTGTTTTTTGATTGGTTTTTAATATTTTTTTCTAATAATGCAGGGAAATGGATACAAAGGAGCATTGGAAAGAACCAGCTCAAGGGGATGATGAACTACATTTTTGTACATGTCAAGTGCCAATTGAATATTCTCTTTAAAATCACACATTCACTTCTACTAAAAGAGGAAACATATTTTTCTTTATGATCTTCTCCCACCTGCTATTCTCAACATGTGGGTTTATTTCTAGTTGGCAGCCTGAGCATGGAGGCATGGCAGAAGCATGGGTAAGGACAAGGTGCCGCCATCTCCTGGTTGAGGGGGTGGGGAGAGTCTTTCTCTTCTTTGGCCCATGACTGTTGCCATGCTTCTTGCTCAGTCTTTGTGTTTTCTAGTTTGTCTCCCATGGTCTTGTTGAGAGATAGAGTAGTCCTCCGTTTTCCTTGGGGGACATGTTCCAAGAACCCCAGCAGGTGCCTGAAAGCAGCGGATAGTACTGAACCCTATATATACTATAGGGTTCTTATACATACCTTTTCTCTTAAAGCAAACACTTTAAAGCTTCTAATTGCCAGCTTCATTACTTTTTCTCTTTGGGTCCATTTTAAATAAAATAAGGGCTATTTGAACACGAGCATTGCAATCCCATGACAGTCAATCTTATAACCAGGGGCTACTAAGTGACTAAGTGGCAGGAGCTTACACGCTGTGACTATGCTGAACAGAGGGATGATTCACGCCTCGGGTGTGCTGGGGTGGGACAGCGTGAGATGTCATCACACTATTCAGAATGGCGTGCAATTGAAAACTGATAAATTGGTTATTTCCGGAAATTTTTTTTTTTCAAATTTTTTTTTTTTTTATCCTCACCCGAGGACATTTTTCCATTTTTTGTACAGATAGAGTGGGAGGGAGAGAGAGGAAGAGAGAGAGAGGGAAACATCGATGTGAAAGGGACACATCGAGTGGCTGCCACCCGCACGACCAATCAGGGCCGGGGACAAACTGCAACCGAGGTACATGCCCTTAGCGGGAACCGAACCCGGGTCTCTCCGGACCGCAGGCGGGCGCTCTAACCGCTGAGCCAAACCGGCCAGGGCCGGAAATTTTTATTTAGTAGTTTTAGATTGCAGTTAACGGGGGTGGGTGGGGGGTGGGGGGTAACTGAAACTGTGGAAAGCAAAACCACAGATAAGGGGACCACTGCACAGCACTGAGTTAGACATTGCATTATATAAATATATCAGACCAACGCATTGCACACCTTACATTTACACAATGTACTTGTCAATTGTATCTCAATAAAAATAAATACAATTTCAATAACTACATATTTCCTTTCTCTAAAATAGGGTATCAAAAGTGTGAACAGAAGGTGACCTACATCAGTATCAGCTAGAGTATTTGTTTAAGAGTGCAGATCCCAGCCCCCCTGCAGACCTGCTGACTGGACTATAGGAGATGAGGTCAGGGTCCGTATTCGAACCAGCACCCTGGGCATTGGTATTGCACTCTTGCTTTTGAGACTCAGCTGCATAAGCTCCAATCGGGAAAATTAAATTAAAAACTTCCCTAAATGCTTATACCTCATTTGCAGATATTCCCACATTCCAGTACAAAAGCACACTTAAAAAATATAATGGCTGCATAACAGAACTTGATGTCTATCTGTCTATGTTTAAAAATGAAGCCAAGGACATTCATTATATCGTTTGATAACCAAACAACAATTGTTGAAGGACCATGTATACTTTTTAAAAAGTTTTCTTGGAAAACCAATCATGAATCAGAACTATTAATTTTGCTTTTCTTTGGTTTTCAATTTTTGCATCTTTTTGTAGGAGTCTCTGCACCTCTCTCTCTCCCTAACCCCTTCCTGTTCTCTTCTCTAAAACTCTGAGTCAGCTTCTTTTTCCATAGCGATCCATATCTCATTATCTCATCTTTAGCACTTGGGAGCATGGTGTCATTAAGAGAATGAACCTTATAGTCAGGTCTTGCTCTGATACCTAACTAGCTGTGTGATGTTGGACAGATTGCTTAGCCTCTCAGTTCCTGTTGCCTCACACTAAAACAAAGAACTTACCTTCTAGTGCTATAGTGAGATTGGAATGAGACTAGTGTGTGGAAGGTGCTCAGCAGAGATCCTAGCAGTCACCCAGTTACTGGTTTTTGTGGTTATGAGTTATAATGGCCACGTGGGAAAGAATGAATGAAAGAGAAAATGTGATTCCTTAAGTTAGGAGACAAATATTGTGACAGTTGCTAGGTTCTGAAGATACAAAGGTGAGCAAGACTTGGTCCTTGCCCTCAAGTTGTTGGTCTTGTCGGAAAAGACAGATTATAATTTCACCCTTAGCATCCAGTGTGTGCAGTGCTGTAAGATGATGAAGGGTTCATTGAAACCAATAGAGAGTGATCAGTATTTTCCGTGTTCGGGGTCTGTTGCCTTGTTGAGTGTCTGTACTCAATTTAAGTCTAGTAGTTGGACTAAGATGTTGACTGTGGTGAACTTGCGTTGTAAGCGGTCAGAGGAATTCTGAATAAATCACCTAAAAACGAGTCCCTCTCTGGAGACTGTTGTGGAGGGCAGAGACATACTATATAAAAAGTATATGATGTTCTTCTGTTCTGTATTATCCTGTGTTGGACATTGGGATACATTACTGCAGACTCGTTGAGCATAACCTGACAGTAATAAGAACAAATCAGGAATGATGACGGGCATTTCCCTTCCCCCTCACATTCAATGCCTGCAGTTGACACTCCGGATCCCTACGTGGAACTTTTCATCTCCTCCACCCCTGACAGCAGGAAGAGGACAAGACACTTCAATAACGACATAAACCCAGTGTGGAATGAGGCCTTCGAGTTTATTTTGGATCCTAATCAGGAAAATGTTTTGGAGGTGAGTGAATCCTTTGCTAATCATTCATTAGAGGTTGACGCTTGGGTTTGTCCCCTTACCTCCTTGGTTCTCAGTGAGATGCCGTGGCGTTCAGCGGGGCAGCACGGGAGACCAGCCTCTAGGTGGTGCCCCCCAAGTTATATGGGCATCCAACAGGAAATGTGGAAGGGAGGTAGGGCTGGGAAGACCCTTTTATCCTCCCTGTGGGCTTTGGAGAAAACATTTTCTATTACAAAGAGGATCTAAATAAAACAAAATAAAAGTATTTTCAATTACCTTTCAAATAAGGTAAAATAGCCCGGCTGGCGTGACACAGTGGATTGAGTGTCGTGCCATGGACTGAGAGGTCCCAGTTTGATTCCTGGTCAGGACACATGCCCAGGTTGCAGGCTTGATCCCCAGTAGGGGGCGTGCAGGAGGCAGCCAGTCGATGTTTCTCTCTCTCCCTTCCTCTCTCTCTAAAAAAAATCAATAAAAAATATATTTAAAAAAAATAAGGTAAAATAAATCACAAAAAGTTGCAGTTTTTCTACAGTAATTTCTTTCTCATATTCCAAAATAGCATTTCCCCCAAGAGGGGATAACTTTCCATTTTGAACACACAATAATGAGCAGGTCAATTAGGGAAATGAAAAAAAAAATTATTATTTTAGTTGAAAATATAATATTCAGAAAAAAATAAAGTATTGTTACCAAGCTGAATATTGAAGATCTCAAATGTTATTTACATGTCAAATTACATGTCATTTGAGAACTTTAATTTTTTTAATGTGGTGGTGATTTTAGATATAATTTTCAGAGCTCCAAGGGTAACTTAAATGTGTGCTCTATTTTTTTTTTCTCTATAGATCACATTAATGGATGCTAATTATGTCATGGATGAAACTCTGGGGACAGCAACATTTCCCATATCTTCTATGAAAGTAGGAGAGAAGAAAGAGGTTCCTTTTATTTTCAACCAAGTAAGTAATACAGTAGAATTAGTTTTCAACTTTTTATCAGATAAAATGTATTTATTCTTGAAAGTTGGGTTTGGCACTGGAGATTTTATTTATGATAATATTTTATTTTTTAGAGAGAACATTTTGTTTTCCCTTTAACTTCTTGTCCTAACCTTTATTATTCAGACAGACAGACACACACACACGCACACACACGCACACACGTGCACATGTGCACGCACACACACTTTGGCTAAGGCATTACACACAATACTACAGACGGCATTGATCTCTTTTGTTGTTTCAAACGATATGCTAGGAATGAGCGATAGCTGTGAACCCATTGGCACATGTAACACAGGACATTTGGGAGGATAAAGGAAGATGTAAAATCTGAGGGGACTGAGCGAACTCAAGGAAAACTGTTGAGACAGCCACACTGTTCCAGAATTACATGTTTTGTAATAAAGTAAGCCTGTGCGGAAGAATATTCTGTCTTAAGTCATTCGCTAACAATTAGAGCTGACGTATAAAAGGTCAGCAGGAATGCTCATGAGGTTGCTGCCATCTTTATATTTCTAGGTTTGCTGCATTCTCGTTTCTTTTTTCACTTTTGTAAAATTAAATTTATTGAGGTGACATTGGTTAATAAAATTATGTAGGTTTCAAGTATACAATCATATGATACATCATCTGTATATTGATTGTGTCCCCACCACCCAAAGTCAAATTGTCTTCCATCATCATATATTTGACCCCCCTAAACTTGACTACCACCCCATCCCTCTTCCCTCTGGTAACCTCCATACTGTTGTCTGTGTCTACGAATTTTTGTTGGTTTGTTTTTCTTTGTTCATTTGTTGCTTTCAGTTTTATATCCCACATATGAGTGAAATATGGTTCTTGACTTTTTCTGTTGAACTTATTTTACTTAGCATGATACTTTCAAGATCCATCCATGTTGTCACCAATCCAATGGCAGTATTTCATCCTTTCTTATGGCTGAGTAGTATTCCATTGAATGTATGTACCACATCTTCTTCATCCAATCCTCTATTGAGGGACACTTTGTTTGTCTTCATATCTTGGCCACTGTGAATAATGCTGCAATGAACACAGCAGTGCATATATCTTTGAGAATAAATGTATTTGAAATTTTCAGGTAGATACCTAGAAGAGAGGTTGCTGGGTTATATGCTAACTCTATTCTTAATTTTTTGAGGAACCCCCATACTGTTTTCCATAGTGGCTGTACCAGTTTACATTCCCACCAGCAGTGAATGAGGATTTTTTTTCTCCACAACCTCTCTAACATTTGTTATTACTTGTCTTGTTGATAATAGCCATTCTAACAGGTGTGAGGTAGTATCTAATTGTAGTTTTGATTTGCATTTCCCTAATAGCTAGTGAAGTTGAGCATCTATTATATATCTATTGGCCATTTGTATGTCTTCTTGGGAGAAGTGGCTGTTCAGGACTTCTGCCCATTTTTTAATTTGATTTTTATTTGGTGTTGAGTTGTGTGGGTTCTTTATATATTTTGGATATCAACCCCTTGTTAGAGCTGTTGTTTGCAAATATCTTCTCCCATTCTTTGGTTGCCTTTTTGTTCTGTGGAAGGTTTCGTTTGCTGTGCAGAAGCTTTTGAGTTGGATATAGTCCTATTCATTTATTTATGCATTTACTTCCCTTGCCTTTGAGGTGAAATTTATAAAATCCTCTCTAAGACCAAAGTCCATAAGTTTAGTACTTATGTTTTCTTCTTTGTAAATTATTGTTTTGGGTCTTATATATAGGTCTTTGATCCACTTTGAGTTTTATATGGGGACACACAGTAGTCTGGTTTCATTCTTTTGCTTGTGGCTTTCCAATTTTCCCAGCACCATTTATTGAGGAGGCTTTCTTTTCTCCATTGTGTGTTTTAGGTTCCTTTGTCAAAAATTATTTGCCCATATGCATGTGTCTGTTTCTGGGCTTTCATTTCTGTTCCATTTGTGTCTATTTTTCTGCCAATGTCATGCTGTTTTGATTATTGTCACTGTAACATAATTTGAAGTCAGGGAGTGTGATACTTCTGGCTTCATTTTTTTATTTTTTATTCTCACCCTAGGATATTTTTTCCAGTAGAAGGGAGGGAGGGAGAGGAAGAGAGAGAGGGACAGAGAGAGAGTGAGAGAGTGAAAAAGGGAGAAAACCATCAATGTGAGATAGACACATAGATTGGTTGCCTCCCACACCAGGGATTGAACCTGTGACCCAGGTATGTGCCCTTAACCAGAAATTGAACCCATCACCCTTTGGCTCACAAGCTGATGCTCTTACCACTGAGCCACACTGGCCAGGGCAGCCTTCAGGTTTTTTTTCCCCTTCACGATTGCTTTGGGTATTCAGAGTCCTTTGTGGAGCCATACAAATCTGATGGTTTTTGTTTTCTTTCTTTCTTTTTTTTTATCCTCACTTGAGGACATTTTTTCATTTTTTGTTCAGATAGAGTGGGAGGGAGAGAGAGGAACAGAGAGAGAGAGAAACATTGATGTGAAAGGTACACATAGAGTGGCTGCCACCCGCACAACCCAACCAGGGCTGAGGACAAACTGCAACCGAGGTACATGCCCTTAGCAGGAACTGAACCCAGGTCTCTCTGGACCGAAGGCTGACACTCTAACCGGTGAGCCAAATTGGCCAGGGCTGTTTTATTTCTTTAAAGAATATCATTGGGACTTGGATGCATTAAATCTGTATATTGCTTTGGGTAATATGGCCATTTTAACTATGTTGATTCTTCCAGTCCATGAACACAGAAAGAATATCTTTCCATTCCTTTGTGTCTTTTAAAATCTCTTTTAATAATGCTTTGTAATTTTCAGTATATAGGTCCTTCAAATCCTAGCATATTCCTAGGTAGTTTATTCTTTTTACTGCAATTACAAAATAATTTTTTTCCCTTTCTTTTTCTGAAATTTCATTGTTAGTATATAGGAACGCAATGTGTTTTTTGTGTATTGATTTTGTGTTCTGCAACTTGACTGTATTTGTTTATTGTTTCCAAAAGTTTTATGGGGGAGTCTGCAGAAAGTGACAATTTTACTTCTTCATTCCAAGTTTGGATGCCTTTTCTTTCTTTCTCTTGCCTGATTGCTCTGGCTAAGATGTGAGGTGAGGGTTGGAATGGGAAGTGGTTGAGGAAGATACATACATGTAAGGAAAAGAAACCCTCCTCCAGCGAGCTTAGTATCAATGACTGATGCACAGGCTACAGCTGTAAGACTAAGTGAAGACAGACTGTGTTGTGAGCGGAGGCCAGGGATGGTGTTGTAGCACTAGGTGACTTTGAACACATTGAACCGTGGACACAGGGGTTCGAACCTTGGTATTTGAAGCCAAGCACTTTGGTGTTTAAATTCCAGCTCTATCCCTTACCAACTGTTTCAACCTGGGGAAATCACTTAGCTCCTCTGTGCTTCAATGTTCTCATGTATAAAGCGAAAATAATATTTCCTAGGAGAGTTATTATGATTTACATAGAGAATATACCTATCATATCATGTGTATTACATAGAAACATATTTAAATGTAATTACATATCAAATTATAATTTTATATAATTTATTATGTGAAATGTAGATTGCATATTACTTACCTGTTAACAATACAATTTATTTTATAGTAAATATATAATGATAATCAGTTATTGAAATAGATATACGAATAGTTTATACACATAGATGTATGCAAACATACATGTAGTGCTTACAGCAGTTCCTGGTACATATTAAGTACTACATAAATGTTTTTTTTATTGTTGCTGTTATTATACCTTGAGAAAAGGATAGATTTCAGTGGGCAGAGAAGCAGTCATGAGCAGATTCTAGGCAGAAGACACTGCAAAAGCATGGAGTCTTAAAAGCAGAAAGCAAGTTGCGGCTTGGCCAGTTACAGGGCTTGGCAGGTCCGTGCCGGCCAGCAGCGGAGTAAGGAGCTTAGAGGCGGAAGGCTAACATCCGCAGACCTTACCTAGGACGTGTTGCTAGGCTCAGCTCTCAGTAAATGTTTTCCAGGGCTTTGTAAGCATGAATTGGCCTTTGCAAAGAAGAATGTGTTTTCCGCCCTATGACACAAAGACTGATTGTAAGCAAAGATATTGTAGGAAAGCATGCATTTCCTCTCCTCCTGTCATTTCCTACCTTAGGTGTGTAACCCCAAGGCCTTCTGCATTCGGGAATTTAAAGTAGCTTACGTAATTATTTTCCTGAGAGTGCCTGAGAAAACAGTTGGTCAGCTTCTTTTCATGACTCTGTTCTCCAAAGTTCTTTGGGGTTTTTTTTTTTAAGTATGTTTTTATTGATTTTTTAAAGAGAGGGGAAGGGAGAGAGAGCTAGAAACACTATGAAAACATCGATCACTGCCTCCTGCGCGCCCCCTACTGGGGATCAGCCTGTAACCCAGGCAGGTGCCCTGACCGGAATCGGAGGACCTCTCAGTCCCTGGGGGGACGCTCAGTCGCTCAATCCACTGAGCCACACAGGCTGGGTGTCCTCTGTGGCTTTTATCTGAATGACCTGTGACCCGTGACAGCAGTGGATGGCCAGTCGGAGAGGCTCACCTTCCCCAGATCACGTGTCCTGCCCTCTGCAAACCATCAGCATCTCCTCGTCTCCGAATCCCCAGCTTTCAGAGGGGGACAGTCTTCTTTCAACAGTCTTCACAGAGGCTGTGAGGGAGAACGCGCTGCGAAGAACTGTGTGGGAGAGGAGAGTTTTAACAGTTCTTGATGGGATGGGTCTAGAAGAAAGCACTTGAAGTTGGCACAGGAAGAACACATGCTTCAAGCCAAGACATTCTTAGCAAAGATTCCTTCAAAATGTTGTCTTCTAAAAGTCAATGTTAAGTCAACATACGTGATTTCTGTGGCCAGGAGACAGGTGGAGGGAAAATAGGAGCTTCCCAATGAAGACTGCAAGACTCCCGGGGGCCTGCTCTGTCCACTCCGGGTGGGAACCTGGAACTGGGAGACCCCGACT